TAGGAGCTCTGTGACTGGGCAGGTGACGGCGGGGGGGGGGCGGGGTTCACCCCTTTGTACCTTGAACTTTGAACTGTACTTCCCTGCATTTCCCCCCAGAGTAAACAAACCAGAGAAAAATGAAAAGGGAACGCTAGACCCCCTTAAGGGGAGACACAGAGTCTCTCATGGAAAAGGTTCAGCGGGGGGCCCCCCTTCCTCTTGGGGGAGTCTGATTCCAGGGATTTGAGGATCAGCCTCTGTCCCCATCGCGGACATCTGGGCCGCAGCGGAAGGGACAGCAGCTAGCCCTGGAGAATCGCTCACTCAGCTCCTAATGTGTCCGCTGGGTTGACGCTGGCAGAGGGGTGATGGGCCCAGGCCCGTGGGGAGCGGCCTTGGCCGAGTAGAAACGCAGGCCCCTCACCTCTCACCCCTCCATGGGCTCGTGCGTCTCTCCCGGCCACCCCCTTCTCGCAAACGCGCCCCACTGGAGAGCTCTGTGGGGAAGACAGTGGTAACAGCTACGAAGAGGAGATGGGGGGTCTGGGGTGGCCATGGTGGGGGGCACAGCTGGCTGCAGGGTCCTTCCTGCCTGCCTCGGCCAGCCTTGTCTTCCAGAGGCTTCCACCTTCTCTGCTAGCCCTGGTCTCAGTGCCCACCTCTCCTGTCTCCTTCCCTCCCCGCTCCCTGCAGCCTCTGCCCCTCACCCCATCTCATCTTGAGGTCTCTCCGGGCTGAGTGTCCCCTGGGGGGCCGGGGCCAGCCCATGCCCTGACTCAGCTGGTGGCTGGAAATGAGGAGGGCTGGCCCGTGCAGGTGTCCTCCCTGGAAGGATGCCAGGGAGGAACTCAGCCGGAGGTGGATTTGTGACAACACGGTCCCACCCTTCAGAGGGAAAGGGGAGGCGAGGGCGGTCTCTGGGAGGCATCAGGACTGAGGGCAAGCATCCTCCCACCCCACCTGTCCCCACCCAGCCGGAGCCTGGGGCGACCCCAGGCTGCGCCCCAGGGTCCAGGCTCCTCCTGAAAAGTGAGAACAGGGGCGGCCCTCAGACCTGGGTTCAAATCACAACTCCTAACTGAGCCCAATTTTCCTCCCACTGAGCACCAGCGGTGGGGGCAACGCCAACCCACCCATGCACTTCACCTACCCCAGTCTGTGCGGTGCCAAGGGGCCCGGTGGGCGGCAGAGGACCTCGGGCTGCTCGCTGCCTCGTCCTAACCATGGGATCTGGGACGCGGCCCGACGCTCCTCTGAGCCTGCTCCCTTAAGCGTACCGGGAGACAGTCTTTGCCAGTGTGCACACGTCCTCGCCCCTCGGCCCGCTCTGCCCACTGCCAGAAAGGCCTTTCCAGGCCTCAGAGCCTCATTCTAGCCAGTGTCTGCCTGACCGGTACAGTTAATCTTCCAGCTCGCCCCAGGCCCCCAACCATCATTCGCTTCCAAACGGAGCCGAATTCCCTTTGGATTGCCCACAGCTGTTGGGGATTTTCTGCTGTTCAGTGATCTGTGTCTCTGCGTCTCTGCTCTGGGCCAGGTCTGCCGTCATCACAGGGAAGGCTCTGGCCAGGGGACAAGGCCGAGAAAATCCTGCTTCCTTCTGATATTTTTGTTTGATGATTCTTGATATCTCCTAGTCTGCCCCCAAACGGTTTGAATTCGGTCCAAAAGATCACTCCGGACTCCCCCCTCCCAACTTCCCTGTTATTTGCAGGGCCCGAGGGCTGTGGTTCCCTCCCCAGAATTCTGCAGGCCCTTCCTTCTCTCCCCCAATGTAAAAGGAACACACACACACACACACACACACACACACACACACACACACACACACACACACACACGCCATGCATCCTCCCAGCTTGGGGGATGGGGACATTCTGAATTGCCGGTAGTTTTTATTCTTATTTGTATAAAACAATGTTTCTGGGTCATTCTGAATAATGATGGTAACTGCTCAATATAGAAAACATGAGAAACAAAGAAAAAGGCCTATCTCCTTCATAATCCCACCATTCAGGGAGGCCACTGTGACCAGGTTGCCGTGTCCTGCAGGTATTGCTGCAAATTAAAACCCTGCTGGAGCTGGGCTTAGTGGCTCAGCCTGTAATCCCATGCCTTTGGGAGGCTGAGGTGAGTGGATTGCCTGAGCCCGCGGTTTCGAGACCCGCCTGGGCAGGTGAAACCTCATCTCTACAATAAAATCAAAAACATTAGCTGGGCGTGGTAGCGCGTGCCTGTAATTCCGGCTACTTGGAAGGCTGAGGCGGAAGGATCACCGGAGCCCAGCAGGTCGAGGCTGCGATGGCCGGGAGCGGCCACTGCACTCCAGTCTGGGCGACAGAGTGAGACTCCAACTCAAAAAAATAAAAAAACATAAAACCCTGCTGGATGCAGTTTTGACTCTTTCTTTAACATAATAACTTTTTCATTTTCCGTTTCTCATCTTATTAACAGTTATCCAAAAACATAATTTGCCGGGCACAGTGGCTCACGCCTGTAATCCCAGCACTTTGGGAGGCTGAGGCGAGAGGATTGCCTGAGCCCATGAGTTTTGAGACCCGCCTGGGCACCTTGGTGAGACCTCGCCTCTACAATAAATAAAAAAATTAGCCAGGTGTGGTGGTGCATGCCATGGTGGCCGTGATCATGCCGCTGCACTCCAGCCTGGGTGACAGAGTGAGACTCCAACAAACAACAACAACAAAAAAAAACCCACATAACTTTTAATGACGGCATAATGTTCCATATTTTGAATCTACCATCAAATATTTAATTTTGCTTACTATTTTTCTTAGCATTATTTTTGCAATTCCTACCCTCATTATTATTATTATTTTTTTTGAGTTGAGGTCTCACTCTGTTGCCCAGGCTGGAGTGCAGTGTCACGATCACAGTTTACTGCAGCCTCAAACTCCTAGGCTCAAGCAATCCTCCCACCTCAGCCTCCCAAGTAGCTGGGACTGTAGGTGCATGCCACCATGCCTGGCTAATTTTTCAATTTTTCTGTAGAGACAAGGTCTCCCTATGTTGCCCAGCCTGGTCTTGAACTCCTGGGCGCAAGTGATCCTCTCGTCTTGGCCTCCCAAAGTGCTAAGATTACAGACATGAACCACCATGGCTGGGCCCATTAATAATATTAATAGCTAGGGGCTTATTGAGTGTTTACCGTGTGCTGGGTACATAAGTGAACTGTATCCTAGGCAGTCTTCACAGCAACATTCTGAGTGGATACTGTCATTTTATACATGAGGAAATTGAGGCACAGAAAGGCTAACTGAATTGACCAAGGGCACACAGCAATCTGGCAGGGCTGAGGGCTTTTAACAGCACACTCCAATAAAGCAGCCATATTTGCACAACACTAGGTAGCCATGTTTGCACACCATTTCTTTTTTTTTTTTTGAGTTGGAGTCTCACTCTGTTGCCCAGACTTGAGTGCAGTGGCCACTCCTGGCCACCGCAGCCTCGACCTGCTGGGCTCCGGCGATCCTTCCGCCTCAGCCTTCCGAGTAGCTGGAACTACAGGCGCGCGCTACCACGCCCGGCTGATTTTTTGATTTATTGTAGAGATGAGGTCTCGCTGCCCAGGCGGGTCTCGAACCTGTGGGTTCAGGCAATCCACTCTCCTCAGCCTCCCAAAGGCGCAGGATTACAGGCTGAGTCACCGAGCCCGGCTTCCACACCATTTCTGACTGACCGAGGCCACATCCCAGAGGTCAAAGGTGCACACGGTGGTCCACTATCCTGATTCAGCCAGAACGTTCCCAGGTTTAGCACTGAGGGTCCTGTATCCCATGAAACCCATAGTCCCTGCAGAGCTGTGAACTGGCGAGGCTTGCCATGCCACCACGGAGGTGCCCTTCAGAAGGTTTGTGTCAACTCATGCCTCGTGAGTAGTGGACGCAGACCCCCTTGAGCTCGGCTTGGTTTCCCTTAGTGGATGCTTTACCTTCTGAGCCCCAGTTTTCCTTGTTTCTATCTGCAGAATGGGGCAATCGACACCTATGGAGTGGTTGTGAAGGTTTCAGATAGGAAAGTGCTAAGCACGGGCCCTGGCACGCAGTAAATGGGTGGGTCCCTTACCTGGCTGCTGGTCACTGAATGAGTCCAGCGCGCATCTCACCCGGCACCTGCCCCCAAGCCACTGGTGGTCATTTGCGTGTCTGAGACGTGACCCCGTGTGTTTCCCTGTCGGTGGCATGGGACCTCAGGGCAGGAGTGACAACGCTGCTCATACTCTGAGGCCTCGGGAAGTTTCTCAGGTTTCCCGGTCAGAACTCAGGGCCGAGGCAGCCGCCAAGGACCTGGAAGAGCCAGTGGGGAGGGTCCGAGCCTCTTTGCTGTCCCTCAGGTGTTTTACCAGCTGGAAGGGGACATGGTTCTCCGGGTCCTGGAGCGAGGAAAACATCGGGATGTGGTCATCCGGCAGGGAGAGGTGAGACTGGACCCCGGGGGAGGCAGGGGGAGGCAAAAAGCCACCACAACTGGAATCCCCCAGCCCTCCCATCCTATTCCCGGCCGAGGTACCCTCCCTGCCTCTCCTCCCCCTGCCCTGGGCACGCCCTCCTCCAGCTGCCCCATCCTCAGCCCAGCCCAGCATTCCCTCCGTCCCCAGCGTAGATGCCGGGCAGAACGGAGGCCCAGGGTGGAGGAGCAGTGCCCCCTGCCTTCCGGTGGGTCAGCGGGGGATGCCCAGGATGCTGGGGGCTCTGAGGCCTCCGGGAGGGGTCGCAGCCTTGCTGGGCACCCTGTGTCCACCCCACAGATATTCCTCCTGCCCGCCGGGGTGCCCCACTCACCACAGAGGTTTGCCAACACCACGGGGCTGGTGGTTGAGCGGAGGCGGCTGAAAACCGAGCTGGACGGGCTCAGGTAAATTCTGTCTGGGGGGCTGGGGCAAGGGAGGGGCAAGCAACAGAGGGGTGCAGAAGGAAGGATCCCAGCTAGACTCAAGAAAGCACTTCCTGGCCACTGAGAGGGCCAGAGGACTTTGCAGCAGAGGCGGTGGAGACTCTGAATTTGCTGGCTGATGGAGGAGGAGGATACAGAGGTGGGTTCTGTTCCTGTGACCCCCTGGTAGCCCACTCAACCCAATGACCCTCTGGCTGGAATCCGCGCCTATGTTTGCTGCGTGAGGTCTGCCTGGAGGAGTGGGATGCAGAAAGTGGGGAGGGGTGCCACAGTCAGACTCCCCCACCGCCCCCCTTTGTGCAGCCAGCACACTGCCGCCTTTCCCCAGAGCTGGGCATCTCGGCCAGTGCCTGTTTCTCCAGCTAAGCTCACCCCACTCGAGCACTCACACCTGGGTGGCACCTGCCACGTTCCAGGCCACCGGCTGAGGGTGGTGTGTGGTTGCCATTTCATTCTCCCGCAACCCTATGGGGCAGATGCTGTTATCATCCACGTTTTGCAGATGAAGGCCCGGGGCCAGGGAGGGCAACTCACAGCCCTTCTTGTGCTGGATCAGTGTTTCCGGGAACTTGGCGCTGGGTGGCAGGGGGAGCAGTAGGGAGGCGTGTGAGGCAGGACCCAGGAGGAGACCGGCAGGCCCAGCAGGGACACTCCGACTCTCTAGCTGGATTCTCACCTGCTTCTGATCAATCACCACTTGGTGTCCTCGGATAAGAAGAGCAAACTATTGCTCTGGGGAACAAACACTTTCCAAAAATCTTAACTTGTTTTTTTGGTATATTTATAAATATATTTTTGAGCTAGGGTCTCTTTTTTGTTGCCCAGGCTGGAGTGCAGTGGTGTGACACTGTTTTTTACATTTTTCTTTGTTTTGAGACAGGGTCTCAGTCTGTTGCCCAGATGGCAAGCAGAGGTATGAAAATAGCTCACTGCAACCTCGAACTCCTAGGTTCGAGTGATCCACCCTGCCTCGGCCTCCCGAGTAGCTGAGACTACAGATGTGGACTACCACGTCCAATAAATTAAAAAAAAAAAATGTAGTGACAGGGTCTCCCCATGTTGCCCAGGCTGGTCTCGAACTCCTGGCCTCAAGCGATCCTTCTGCTTTGGCTTCCCAATATGCTGGGATTGCAGGTATAAGCCACCACACCTGGCCTTTTTTTTGTATTTTTTAACTAAGAGATTTTAAGTTTCCTATCACATTACCCGGATCAGGATACTTTAGCCCACATCTTCTGATATGCTGGACATTTTTAAAATACTTCCTCAGCCTGGACAATATAATGAAACCCGGTCTCTACGGAAAAAAAAAATTAAGTTAGCCAGGTGTGATGGTGCACACCTGTAGTTCCAGCTACTCAGGAGGCTGAGGCAGAAGGATCACCTGAGCCCAGGAGGTCAAGGCTGTGGTGAGCTGTGATCGTGCCACTGCATTCCAGCCTGGGTGACAGAGTGAGACTCCAACTCAAAAATAAAGGGGGGTGAGGAAACAAAAAAAATTATTTGTCATGCCCCCAACTAAACCTAATAAAGTGCTTACATTTCCATGCTGGCTTTTTTCTATGTATATCTACACCTTACAACATTGCATGGGAAAGTTTGAGTTTTGTTTGTTTTACTTAAAAGACACTCACAAGTATTTCTCATACTGTTGCCCAGGCTGGAGGGCAGTGACATTCTCACGGCCACCGCAGTCTTGACCTACTGGGCTCAGGCAATCCTTCCGTCTCAGCCTTCCAAGTAACTGGAACTACAGGCACGCACCACCATACCCGACTAATTTTGGGATTTATTGTAGAGATGAGGTCTCGCCAAGTTGCCCAGCCTGGTTTTGAACCCCTATGTTTAGGCAGTCAGTCCTCTCGCCTTCACCACCCAAAGTGCTGGAATTACAGGCAGGAGCCACTGCGCCTGGCTCTCATACTATTAAAGCTTTTCAAAAAGCATAATGTTAATGGCCACATAACAACCTACTGTATGACAGTCTATAGTAGAGACAGACACACATGGCCTTATATTCTAAAAAACAAAAAAAAGTTCTCACCTGGGGCTTTATCTAGGGAATCTCTAATGAGACGACTGTGTCCTCAATAACATTTTACGGCAAAGTCAATAACGGATTTCATCTGGTTGCTTTTGACCTTTAATAAAAGCAGGGACTCAACATTAAATGCCAGTCGGAGGCAATTCCTGGAGGACATTGCAGTCCAGTTACAAGGCTGTCGGTGGCCAGCCCCATCCCCGGGTGGAACTCCGGCCGCCGGGTGGCTGGGGTTGCCCAGTAGCCTGTAAGCCCTTGACCATCAGGACCACTGCTCTTTTTGGGTCAGGGTCGACGAGCAGACACGGCCGGCCTGGCCCTGGGACGGGACCCAAGGATTAGAGATTCAGTTCACAGATGTTCCTGGCCCCTGCCATGTGCTGCGCACACAGGGGCCTGGGGCCGGGCCCAGCCAGCCCGACACTCCTCAGCCCAGGGGAAGAGCTCGCTGAGTGGGTATGGGGATAGGAGTGGGCTCCGGGGTCTTCCGAAGGCTCTATGTGCATACGCGAAGGCTTCAGCCTGGAGAAGAGGCCCAGAGCTTTGCTCCCATTCTTAAAGGCAAGCCTGACCTCCGAAAAGAAGAAACCTTGATTTGGGAACCATTCTCCGTCTTGTGGATCCTTCAGTTTCTGGGCAGTCTGACCTAGAACACCACAGACTGGCAGAGTATCCGGGCCCTGGCCCTGTTCTCAGATTCAGCCTCAGCTTTCTTTTTGGGAAAACATGAGCGCTGGAACTTGATGCTCCTGAGTTTCTTTTCTTTTTTTTTTTTTGATTTGGAGGCTGGAGTGCAGCGGCACGCTCACGACCACCCCAGCGTCGACCTGCTGGGCTCCAGCGATCCTTCCGCCTCAGCCCTCCAAGTAGCTGGAACTACAGGCACGCTCCACCATGCCTGGCTAATTTTTTGATTTATTATAGAGATGAAATCTCATGAAGTTGCCCAGGTAGGTCTTGAACCTGTGGGCTCAGGCAATCCTCTTACCTCAGCCTCCCAAAGTGCTAAGATTATAGGCATGAGCCACTGCGCCCGGACTTTTTTGATTTATTGTAGAGATGAGGTCTTGCCATGTTGCCCAGGCTGATCTCGAACCCGTGGGCTCAGGCAATCCTCTCGCCTCAGCCTCCCAAAGTGCTGGAATGACAGGCTTAAGCCACCGCGCCTGGCCGCTCCTGAGTTTCTAAGGCTGTCTTGAGCCTGATCTGCTTCTGCCGCTTACGGGCTGTGTAACCCCTCCAAATTGCCCGGCTGCTCTGAGCCTTCCAAGCGCCACCTGCTTTGCAACTGGCCTGTTTTGGGGATCTGGGAACAGCTATGTGAAAGGTGTGGAGAGCAGCCCCTCCCACCCTGCTTTGGGGACACAGATGCTTCTGGAGAGCCAGGTGTAAGCGACCAGGCACCGCCACTCGGCTGCGCTAACAGGGGAGACGCCGGCAGCCCGGCGCTGCGGGGCCAGGCCCGGGACGTCCCCGGGCAGAGCCAGACCTGAGCGAGGCTGCCCTGACGCCGTCCAGATGGGGAGCAGGGTTGTCTGGCCTCTACCCTGGCAGGTACTACGTAGGGGACTCCGTGGACGTCCTGTTTGAGAAGTGGTTTTACTGCGAGGACCTCGGCACGCAGCTGGCCCCCATCATCCAGGAGTGAGCCCAGCCCCGCCCCTGGCCGCCGCTGTCCTGGGAGAAAGTCTCTCCTGGGTGAGGGGGTTCCCACTGGGGAGGGGTGAGGCTGCCCCACGGGGCTGGGAGGGAAAGGACAAGTTGTGTGAGTGCCCGCGGGCATGCGTGGGCTCCTACACCCACGAGTGTGAGTGGTGTGTGTGTGTGTGTGTGTGTGTGTTCACGCACGCGTATGCATGCCACTGGCCACCCCTCCTCCTCCCTGCTTGTCCCCGCCCACAGGTTTTTCAACTCTGAGCAGTATAAGACAGGAAAGCCCATCCCTGGTAAGGCCTGGGATCACCTCTCTCCCCGCCCCCCCTTTCCCAGAGTTGGGTGGGTCTCCCCCGGGGTGCCAGGGGTCTCTTTGTGAGTCCTCTGCCCAGGTCTCAGATGCTGAGAAGAGGGCGGAAAATCATGCCCCTCACGTGCCTGTCTGGCTCCTGAGCTGGCTCAGAGCGAATCCCAGTGACAGAGCGCTGGGGTCCTGGGAACCGGGCCGGCTGGGGCTGGGCAGGCCGGGCCCAGAGGACACTGACCGCAGCCCTGCGCGGGTGCAGACCAGCTGCTCAAGGAGCCGCCGTTCCCTCTGAGCACTCGCTCCATCATGGAGCCCATGTCGCTGGAGGCCTGGCTGGACGGCCGTCGCAGAGAGCTGCAGGCGAGCGCATCCCTCAGCCTGTTTGGGGACACCTATGAGACCCAGGTAACGCAGCCGTGGGCCACCAGCAGTCCCGGGAAATGGGGACGGATCTCACATACTCACAGGCGTTTCGGAGGCTGTAGACGTGTGGGCACAGGCCTTCCTGCCTCCTGCCTGATGCAGAGAACTGCGGCGCTGCTGAGGGCAGGTCTCTGGAGGCTGTGCGGTCCCACGCAATCTTGATTTGCTTTCAGAGCAGGGGATTGCATCACTCACTGACTGCTAGGAATTCCTGAGCCTTCGACCAGTCACAGCCTCAGAAACCAGAAGGGAGAGAGTTGTTTGGGAGTGAAGGTGGGGAGGAGAAGAGCAGAGACCCAAATTTGACCTTTCATCCAGTGTTTCTTGAGTGACTATGATGTTCCAGGCTTTGGTAGAATAGGATAGAGTCACTGCCTCAAAGAGTGTATGAGGCCGGGCACAGTGGCTGGCCTTGGGAGACCGAGGTGAGAGGATTGACTGAGCTCAAGGGTTCGAGACCAGCCTGGGCAACTTGGCGAGACCTCATCTCTACAATAAATTAAAAAATAAGCCAGGCGTGGTAGCGTGCGCCTGTAGTTCCAGCCACTTGGAAGGTTGAGGAGGAAGAATCGCCGGAGCCCAGCAGGACGAGGCTGTGGTGGCTGTGAGCGTGCCAATGCACTCCAGTGTGGGCGACAGAATGAGATTCTAACTGAAAAAAAAAAAAAAAGGCGTACGGCCTATTCAAGGAGACGGACACGTTAATCAACAATTGCCACAATCTTGTGATCTATTATTTCATAGAGAAGTCATAGGAAGCTATAGGAGGAACCCACACTGAAAGGGAAGTCAAAGAAGGCTTCCTGGAGGAGGTGATGGGCAAGTTGCATGTCAAAGCTAGTAGAAGGGTTTGTAAAAGGAAGGTGGAAAGAGCATTCTGGGTGAAAGAGAAACATGGACACAGGCAGGGAGGCTTGACACAGCCTGGCACTGTCAGCAGCTGAGGTTGGCCAGCGCCAGAGTGGGGGTACAGGGCGGGGGAGTGGGGCGCCCATGCAATGGGCAGATTGCGCAGGTTCCGAGTCCTGGTGAGAGCTGAGCGGAGAGGCCTGCGAGGAGGCTGTGTTCACTCACGCCTGACAACTCAGGCAGGTGCCTCCCGGGTGCCCGGAGTCGGTCACCCCATGGAGGGGACTCCCAGGGACAGGCCTCCCTTAGAGGCTGGCTGCCGCCCTGGGGTGCCAGGGACGCCCAGAGCCTGCAGAGCTATGAGAGCAGGTACACCACGGAGGCCTCCCTGCCTCCACCTGCGGGCAGCGGCACTCAGCCTGAGCCACCTGCCCTGCGTCCCGGCCCTCATCGCCCTGTCCCTTCCTGCTTCCGTTAACACCCCCAGGAGTCCCCAGGTCCCGTCTGGGCCAGCAGGGCGTGGCTAGCACAGAAGCGCCAGGCTCCAGGCCTATGAGGGTCAGAGGCCTCAGTCCGTGATCCCCACCTCCTCTCGAGGCCAGACTCTTCATGTCTCATGGAGGAAGGGAAGTGGCCACCCTGGGGGAGGCTGATGTGAGCGTTTGTGTCCCCAGTGCGTCCTGCGCCTTCACGTGAGCACACATCAGAAAGACCACAGGTGCGCGTGCACAGGAAGGGCAGACACGTTGGATCCCGGGTCCCCCGTGGCCACGGCCTCCAGTCGGGGCAGCCTTCCCTCCAGGTCTTGATCTCTGCTCGCCAGAGGACAATGGGGCTTTTTTATGGGCCCAACCCTGCTCCCCTCGGGCCTGGTGTCTTGGGGACCTGGTTCAAGGCCATCTCCCACGGCAGCTTCCGTGTCACCTCCCACCAGGTGATCGCCCATGGACAAGGCAGCAGTGAAGGCCCGAGGCAGGACGTGGACGTGTGGCTGTGGCAGCTGGCAAGTGGAGCCTCTGGGACAGGGTGGCACAGAGGGGACCAGACGGGGTCCGGGCCTTGGGCCCCGTGGTGGGGCCTCCTCCCAGACCCCACCTCCAGGCAGACTCAGGGACCCTCAGACAGACAGGTATCGAGGCCTTCCTACTCTTCCTCAGGAGGGCTCTTCCGTGGTGACCATGAGGGGGCAGCGTCTCAGCCTGGCCCCGGATGACAGCCTGTTGGTGCCAGCTGGGACCTCGTGAGTGCACGGGGAGGGCTTTCCCCAACGGTGGGACCGCCTCCTTCCCCTGGGATCCTCAAGGTCCAGCCTCTTCTGACCCCTGCCCATCCTTGTCTCCCCAGGTATGCCTGGGAGCGAGCACAGGGCTCTGTGGCCCTGTCTGTGACCCAGGACCCCGCCCGTAAGAAGCCACTGGGGTGACCGTCTTGCTCTGGAGCCAAGGCAGTCAGTGTGCCCGAGCGCCATCCCTGCCAAACACCTCTCCCAGCCCCACTGCCCCTCTGTGTGCCAAGGCTGAGCACCTCTGTGTCCCTGACGCTGGGCCCAGGACGTCACTGTCACTATCCTTCTGCCCTTCTCAGCCCGATGCCAGGCTCCCGGGGGCCAGCAGCCCCCCCTCCCCTTTACCAGCCTCAGCCCACTGCCCCGCCGATCCCGCCATGTGGCCCGCTCGCTGCGGCCTAGCCAACCCTCCCCTCTGTCCCAGGGGCTCAGTGCAGCCCTTCCCCGTCCAAGAAGGTCCTCAATAAAGGCAGCCTGGGAAACGAATGCCCATGTCTGCATGCACACAAGTGGTCACCGATGGCAGCCACGTGCTGCCCTGTGACCGTGTGGGCTGTAGTGGCAACCGGTGACTGTGGGCATGTTGAGGGGATCCTGTTATTGGGTGTCACTGCTTGTGGACAGACATTTCTCACTATGTGTGACCCGATCCATGAGTGCCTCTGCATCTGTCCTGGGAGCACAGCCGACGTCATCCCCCCACCTCTTTCTTTGTTCCCATTTATTCTTTTTTATATAACTTTAAAATAATAGCCTCTCATTAGCCAGGCGCGGTGATGCACACCTGTAGTCCCAGTTACGTGGGAGGCTGAGGAGGGAGGATCACTTGAACCAGGAGTTTGAGGCTGCAGTGAGCCACGATCATGCCACTGCACTCCAGCCTGAGCGACAGAATGAGACTCTGACTCAAAAACAAAAAAACCAAAAAGAATAGCATCAATTGCGTTTCCCCCCCATAACAGAAATTATCTGTGCTAACTGTAGAAAACTTAGAAATACATAAAAGCACAAAATGCCCACACTGGCATTAAGCCCTGTCAATACCCAAAGTCTGATCAACCCGGAGAGGGGCATATGAAATGCCAGGAGCCTGGCAGTAGGGGTGTGTCTGGCCTCATGCCAACCCCCCATCATGCATAGGGCTCCCTGGGCCTGCTATAGGCATCCAGGAATGCCGGAGGGCCCCAGGCAGTAGTGGTCAGGCTGGGCTCAGCCCCTGGGACTCCACCGAGAAGTCGTGAGGTGTATATATGGGGGTAACTGAAGCTACACCTGGCCACAACAGGTCCCTGCTTGGATGCAAAGCTTCCTCTAGAAAAGGAACCTTGAACCCTATCTCCTCCCAGCCTGGTGGCTCACTACCTTCATACACTCCCCTGGGGGCAGAGGAGGACCTGATTTGCTGGAAGGGCCTCAGCCCTGAAGGACGATGGACTTTCACCTTCTTCTCAACCCCCAAAACTTTTCTCTCCCGCAAGCAAAGAAAAAACACCACCAGGCCAGGTGTGGTGGCTCACCCCTGTAATCCCAGCACTTTGGGAGATGGAGGTGAGAGCATTGCCTGCGTCCAAGGGTTCGAGAACAGCCTGGGCAACTTGGTGAGACCTCATCTCTACAATAAATTTTTTTTTAAAAAGGCCAGCCTCGGTGGCTCAGCCTGTAATCCCAGCACTTTGGGAGGCCGAGGCAAGTGGACTGCCTGAGCCCGCGGGTTCGCGACCAGCCCGGGCAACTTGGCGAGACCTCTTCTCTACAATAAATAAAAAATTAGCCGGGCGTGATAGCGCGCACCTATAGTTCCAGCTACTTGGAAGGCTGAGGCGGAAGAATCACCGGAGCCCAGCAGATCGAGGCTGCGGTGGCCGTGAGCATGCCACTGCACTCCAGCCTGGGCGACAGATTGAGACTCCAATTAAAAAAAAAAAATTAGTCGGGTGTGGTGGCATGCCCCTGTAGTTCCAGCTACTTGTAAGGCTGGGCCAGAAGGATCGCCTGAGCCCAGCAGGTCGAGGCTGTGGTGGCCGTGAGCGTGCTACTGCACTCCAGCCTGGGAACGTGTGAGAGACTCTGACTCAAAACGCAAACAAAGAAAAAACCCCAGCAGCCTCCTCCAGACACAAACGGTCCAGGGGGACCAGGGATGGAGACTTGGCACGTGCTGGGACTGCAGCAACACTGCTCTGTGCAGGAGCTGAGAACACAGAATGTTCCAGAAGACCCTGGGTCGGAGTACAAGTAGCCACAAGAAGAATTTACCCTAGTACAGAGGGCAGGCCTAATCCCAGGCAGAAAATAATCAAAATTAGATCTCGCCTGTGTTTCTGAATACCAGCTCTGTGCCAGGGAACACCCCAGAAGTTTTTATATAAACGATCAAACGATCTCATTTTATCATCACCACTCTCCAAGAGGGTGGTAGCCCCGGTTTTACAGATGAGGCTTAGAGAGTTTTAGAAACTGGACAGCTCTGTTTCCGACCCAGGCCCGTCTGCACGTAAAGTTCGGAGGGGGCGGTCTCACCATCCTGTGGTGGCAGCCTGTTTGACCAGGCAGGGCAGAGGCCGGTGGCCAGGGTGCCTGAAACCCAACCTGAGGCCTGGGCGGAATTGGTGGCACGTGACAGACTGCTGACCACAGCCAGGAGGTGGTAGGCGGGGCCAGGCCCTGGCGCCAGCAGCCACAGCGTCCCTTGTCCCTCCCCTCTCTCAGCCCTGCCATCCAGGTTCCTGGGAGCCTGAGGCCCTCATCTGCCCACAGGACCACCCCCTCCCCACCCCCTGCAGACTCATGAAGACTCCTCGCTGTGGGACAGCAGGACTCGGACCTCGTGGGGAGTCAGCCCCAGCCTCCGGCTCCCCATTCTGCAATGAACGCTGGGAGAAGGGCCGGGGAGGGGGTGGAAACTGAGGGCTGCCAGGATGGTTCTGTTTCGGGGAGACATCCCTAGGTCCCCCTGCCATGGCCGTGGGATCTTGGCAGCTGAGCTCTGCCTGCAGTACCTACTCCATCATGTACATGCACTTGGGACCATCACACCTTGAAACCATCAGGAATCTGGGAGCAACAGGAGGTTGTAGACAGCAGGCTAGAGAAGCAAACAGGCCTGGTCCCTCGAGGCCACGGCAGGACGGAGGAGGTCTGGACGGACTCCCTGCCTGTCTCTCCACACTTCCTGCCGCCAAGCTGGTGGGGCCAGGGAGATGGCCAGCCAGCCTGTGTGTGTAATGAGGTGTGTTCAGGCAAGGTCATCAGGCAAGGTCACCCGCCTCCAGACAAGCAAACATGCAGCCGCTCAGGATTGCAAACTCTCCCCTCTCACCCAGCCAGACTTTCCTCCCACCTCAGGGTTTCTCTGGGCTCCATCTTGCCCCTGCTGATCCCTGCACGTTCTCTGCCAGGGCCGTGGCCCCCCAGGCTGGGCTCAGAGACCTTGTCCAGAGAAGGCAGGAGGGGACGTGGGAGGGGGCGGGCCGCCGGGCTCCCCTTCGCTGGCAAACAGGAAGGCCGCGTGTCTCTCAGTGGCTGCAAGACGCTGATGAAAACCCCAGGATGTTGTGTCACTGTGGTGGCCGGCTGATAGTGACGTGCGTCCCACTCAGGCCCGAACGCTCCGGCAGGGGCAGAGGACTCCAGAACCTTCGCTGGGATCCCTGGCCCCGGCAGCCATGGCATCCCGTAACCTGAGCTCTCCGTCTCTCTCCCCGTCCTCCGCCCTCCCTCTCCCGCCCTCTTCCCCTGCCTCCGCCTTCACCACGGCAGGGTGGGGGCCCTCGGGAGAGGCCGGGCTCCCCTGCCACCCCACGTCCTCCCCGCTGGTGGCCGCCTTCCTGGCACCCATCCTGGCCGTGGAGTTTGTCCTGGGCCTGGCGGGGAACAGCCTGGCCCTCTTCGTCTTCTGCGTCCGCACGCGGCCCTGGACGTCGAACACGGTGTTCCTGGTCAGCCTGGTGGCCGCCGACTTCCTCCTGCTGAGCAACCTGCCCCTCCGCGTGGACTACTATCTCTCCCAGGAGACCTGGCGCTTTGGGGACGCCGCCTGCAGAGCCAACCTCTTCCTGATGTCCACCAACCGCACGGCCAGCGTGGCCTTCCTCATGGCCATCGCACTCAATCGCTACCTGAAGGTGGCGCGGCCCCACCACGCGCTGAGCCGGGCCTCCGTGGGGGCGGCTGCCCGGATGGCCGGGGCCGTCTGGGGGGTCATCCTGCTCCTCAACGTGCACCTGCTGCTGACGTCCCAGCCCGGCCGCTCCTGCCTCAGCTACAGGGTGGGCGCGGAGCCCTCAGCTTCCAGCCGCTGGCACCAGGCCCTGTACCTGCTAGAGTTCTTCCTGCCGCTGGCCGTCATCCTCTTCACCATCGCGGGCATCGGGCTCACCATCCGGCGCCGCGGCCTGGGCGGCCAGGTGGGCCCGCGGAGGGCCATGCGCGTGCTGGCTGTGGTGGTGGCCGTCTACATCACCTGCTTCCTGCCCAGCGTCGTCTTTGGCACGGCGACCTTGGTGGCCTTCCGGCTGTCCGCCTGCCACGCCCTGGACGTCTGCTCGCGGCTGTTCCACAGCTCCTTGGCCTTCACCTACCTCAACAGCGCGCTGGACCCCGTACTCTACTGCTTCTCCAGTCCCAGCTTCCTCCGCCAGAGCCGGGCCCTGCTGGGCTGCTCGCGGGGCTGGCAGGGCCCAGCCAGTGACGAGAGCTCCTACCAGCCCTCGGGGCGGCGGCGGCAGGGGGCCTCCAGGAAGGCGGAGGCCTCTGGGAAGCTGCAAATGCAGGCTGAGGTCTCCCTGGAAATGGAAGGCTCCTCCCAGGACCGAGGATGACCGAGGGTCCCTGCGGGCCGCAGGGGTAAGGACTGCTGGGCTCTGGCCTGGAGGGCCAAGGCCAGCTCAGGGTGCCTCGACCAACTGGACAAGGGACAAGGGATGTCTGTCTGCAGGCTGGTAGCTGGGCCGAGGCGGAGGCAGGGAGAGAAAATCGCCTGGGTTTCACAGAGTGTCCAGGAGGTCATACCCAGAGTGCAGGAGAGAGCGTGTCACCAGGTGGAGACGGGCAGGGGCTCTTGGGCACACTGACTCCGACGGGGCCGACGCCCGGCCCCATCTCGGGTCAGAGCCTCGTCGCTCAAGAGCAGTCTTGCTTTGGGAACTCGACAGCTGCACTTTCTGTGCTCACCAGCTTGTCCCTTTCTATACTAATAAACATCCTTTTTAAAAATGCAGGCCTGTCTCAGACATTGAAAACCAAATCGGTGTCTTTGGGTCCAACCTGGGAGCAGGTCAGCAGGCATCAAGTGAGTGTCCCAAGGCAAAGGGACACTTGGGGCAGAGCGTGGAAGCCACCCAGCAGTCTCTTCCTGTGAGACTCTGTCCTTCCCAGGGCCCCTGGGCATCCCCGGCCTATCCCGAAAGGCAGGACTGCTCTCCCGGGTGAGGACCTCAGGTCACAGGTACAGGGCTTGATGGTGGGGACCTGATCCCTTGGAGTTTTAATCCGCTTCGTCCAACCCACTCATGTCACGGACAGGATGTGCTGCGTCTGCTAAAGTCCTCAGGAACTTCCGGAAGCAAAGGCCCAGGAGTGTCACGCAGCCCAGGAAGATGGCATCAAGGAGCGTGCGGAAAAGCTGGAGTGGGAGACGGGGGTGGGGGGCTCGTGAACACTAGCACTGTGCCACTGAGGATCTCCAACCCACGTCCGCTGAAAACTCACCTGCTGCTCTCAGACACCCCTGCCTGGGTGCCCTCCGGGGTTGCTTCTCTCTGTCTCTCTGCTCCCCACGGCCCGGCTCCCTGCACTCCCACTGCTGTCTTGCCCACCCTGGAGGCACCCCGCCTCTGAGGGCCAAGCCCCAGCCAGGCCAACGTCAGCCCGAGGCAAGAGCTTTCAGGAAAGCCCCACACACGCTCTGTCCTGTGGAGCCTGCCCAGGGCACCAACACGTCACACGGTCACCTCTCTCCTAGTGCCGTCTCTGCCCTGAAAGTGCGTGCCTGGTTCAGGGCAGCTCCGGGAGCCATTTCTTGCGTCTCCTCTTCCCTGGGTCCTTCTCCCACCAAGTCCTCCCATCCCATTCCTCTCAGCATCTGGGCTCCGCCCTCCTGCCTCCCCCACCTGAGAGGGTGGCTCATAGACTTCCCCACGCCAAGGGAGAAAGCTGAGGCAGCCCTTGGGGAGTCCTGGGTGGACGCTGGTCACAGGGTCCAGGCCCACGCGCCCAGCCTGCCCGGGAGGCTCCCTGCCCCTCGTCTTGAGGTCGAGGCCTGCTCCCTCGCGGACGGACTGGGCACGCCGCCGCTGTCCCCACCCTCCTTCACAAGGCCTTCTCTAAAGGAAGCCTGGGCATGCCCCCACGAAGCAGGCTCCAGGCTGCCCTCACACTGCCCCTGCGTGGAGGTGGAGCTACCTGGTCCTAACCTTGGCCTCGACCCGCTGAACCCTTCTCCAAACTCAGTCCTCCATCTGCAAAGGGGACCAGCGATCCTGGCCACTGCCCGACTCCAGGAGCTGGAGGTAACTATATCCAGGGGCTGCAAGCGAGGAGGGTCGTTATCATGTGGCACCAGGAGAAGAGCAGGAAGAGGAGGAGGAGAAAGAAAACTGCTTAGTGCAGGGTTTTCTACAGCCTAGGGAGCAGTGCCTGCGGAGAGTAAGACCCGCTGGAGGCAGACAGGGCAGAGGCCCTGTTTCCAGCATTTGGGTTCCAAAGGGCCCTTGGGCCCCTGGAGTGGGCTGCACTCACGGGGTGAGGCTGGGCAGCGTCTCATCCTGTTTTGCTTCTCTTCTTTCTCCTCCTATAACCTGCTGCCAACTGGGGGTGGATTGAATGGCATGCCCGGCCTTACCCCAGGGACTCCCGTGCAGGGGCGAATGGGCAGGGCTGTGACTGCAGCAGGGACAGCTCGCCCAGCATTTACTGGGCACCCTCCACGGGCCAGACATTGAGAGACAAAGGCAGACAGTGCTGATCTGACCTCGAACCCCTCCAAGCTAAGCCTGGGCAGACAGACCTGCAAATGAACCCAGTCAGAGGCCATCCTGGTCTTTTCAAAGGTCTTCCTGGTGGTCGCACACCCCGAGGGCAGGGGTCGAAAGAGCTATCTCTGCCTGGGGTGTCGGAGGGGATGCTCATGGCCGGATCCCGGAGGGTGAGGAAGCAGAGAAGGGAACGGCATTCCCAGCACCGGGAAGAGCATGATCAGGGCACAGAGCTCTGAGGAGACTTGGGGCCCGGAGAGTGGGGCGGAGGTCCCTGAGGTCAGAGAGGGGGCAGGCAGGTCTGACACAGAGTCAGGGGACAGGCAGGAAGGGCAGGTGTGCCGAGCCCAGGAGCACAGGCGGTCCTGCAGACAAGCCCCTGTGGCAGGGCGGGGTGCGCACGAGGTACTGAAGTCGAAGATGGTGATCTGTTTGCACTTTGATCAGTTACTCCAGCAACAGCGTGGATGGACTGGTGAGGGGACACGTCTGTATTCCAAGCAAGGGCCTGAAGACAAGCAGAGGCACTGAGGCCGGGACACGAAGGCACAGCCCGGGAGAACACAATGGCGGTCCTGTGGGTGACACACTGAGGACACGGGCAGTGGAACAGATCTGGGGGTCAGACAAGGGGCAGGGAACCTGGAGGCCCCCAGGCACGCGTGAACAGCAACACGCTCAGGACTGGCAGGAGGATTTCAGGGTCTTCTTCTGACCCAGGGGAGTCGAACTTATAGCAAGATTGTGGAATCAAGAATTATCCTGAAAAAACCCCTACCAGGCCGGGTGTGGTGGCTCAAACCTGTAATTCCAGCACTTTGGGAGGTCAAGGCGAGAGGATTGCCTGAGCCTGCGGGTTCGAGACCAGGTTGGGCCACACAGTGAGACCTTGTCTCTACAATAAATAAAAGTTAGCCGGGCATGATAGCGTGCACCTGTACTTCCGGCTACTTGGAAGGTTGAGGCGAAAAGATTGCCGGAGCTCAGTAGGTCGATGCTGGGGTGGCCGTGGGCGTGCCACTGCACTCCAGCCTGGGCGACGGAGTGAGACTCTAACTCAAAAACAACCCTACAAGTAATGGGCACACATGGAATGACTCAGAAAAACACTAAGAAAAAACCCTTTAAGTGGGAAAAAAAAATCAAGGACCGCAGCAAGAAAAAAATGAGCACGAAAGAAATCAAGAATCTCTTTGCCCAAGCAGGGAGATTGCCCGTTAAAAAGAACAGAATAAAACCATCTTTCATGGAGGCAAAAGCCAAACACAAAGTACCCAGACAGTCTGCAAAGTGCCTCCTGTAGGAATAGACAGAGCGTCGTCCGAGAATGGAGCATTTTCAGAAGTGGTTCCTAATTACACGCCGCAGAAAGCTGATCTGAAAACCGGAGTGCACGTCTGACATGGGCTGGTCAATTAGCGCCCTGGATGGACACCCTGGACGAACAGTACATTGTCTGGTCCTGTTTTTCAAGAAAGCTTTTCAAGAAGCAATAGGCTGTCATCGCGTGAGATTTAATAACATGCAGAATGTGTTCTCTCTTAGTTATGGATTTATTCATATGCATAAAATCACATACAATCACGCGCTGGGTCGATAAACGCTAAATTAAAGAAAGAGCGTCTGTCTGCGGTGGAGAGAAATGGAGAAGGGGACCCAGGTGACGACGGCCACCATATCTGAAATTATCACCGGAAAAAAAATCTGAAAAAGTCCCCACAAGCCACATCTGAAGGTTACTTAGCTCTGGGCAGGGAACTAAGGAGTCAGTCAATGGACGAGGGGTGAGCATGACAACGACAGCTTTGACTGCTCCAGAAAGCCCTAAGGGGGTGCCAAGGGACCCTGCTGGATTCGGTGATCCGAAGGTCATGAGTGACTTTACCGGCAGCCATGGGTGAGTGGTTGAGGGCGGGGTGGACGGAAGCGGTGAGTACCGTAATGGGTTGGGGCATTAGTGACAAATGATGTCTTGGAGACAACTCTGCTGTCTTTCAACACGTCTGCCAGTAACGAGACGAGACGATAGCTTCAGGTGAAGCCCAAGTGGAGGACGAATGTCTCGGCGGTTTGACTGTTCTATTATTTCGCAAACTGGCTGGAGAGACTTAAATCTAGTGATAGGAGGGGAGGGGAGAGATGGGAAGCATGGTGGGGTGGTTGATGGAGCGATAACAAACACGGCCCTGTCCTAAGCCTTCGACACACCTAATTTCTTTAGTCCTGAGGTAGATACTCACATCCCATTTTACAAATGAAAACACTGAGGCACAAAAAGGGTGAATAATTTGCCCAAGGTCACACAGCTAGGAAGTGGCAGTCTGGCCTGTGACAGGACATTCCACTGCAATGCCCTCAGGCGTGGGGGGGGATCCAGCATATGGGTGGCAGGAGGGTCTGTCCCCAAGAGGTAGAAGGACAACTCCTTGGGCTGGGAGGATGGAGCTATCTCACCAGGTCTTAGGGTGGAAGGAGCAGCCTTGGCTCTCGGGGTGAGGACGGAGGGAGGGAGTGGCATGGACCCTAGGAAGACGAGCTCCCACACAAAAGGCCACCAGCAAGCAGCTTGGAGCTCTGGACAGGCCAGGTCGTGTACCTTTCCCGCCAACATCTCCAGCCAGGTGTCCCTAGGGCGGCCAGAAGAAACCTTCTAGAAGCCTGACCATAAAACCCCAGTCTTGCCATGGGACTGAGGGTCAGACCCCCAGAGAGACGGGGCATGTGACACTCTGTGCTACAGAGGGGTATCGAGTCAGGGTAAGAAGTCTTAATACAAGGCCTCAGCCGGGCTCGGTGGCTCAGCCTGTAATCCCGCATCTTGGGAGGCTGAGGTGAGTGGACTGCCTGAGCCCACGGGTTCGAGACCCGCCTGGGCAGCTTGGCGAGACTTCATCTCTACAATAAATAAAAAAATCAGCTGGGTGTGGTAGCGTGCGCCTGGCTTCTACAGTGCACCAACCATGAGTGTCTACAGGCAGCTTCTACAGTGCACCATCCTGAGTGTCCCCGCACATGTCCCCAACCTGCTGGGCTCAGGCAATCCTTCCATCTCAGCTTTCCAAGTTAAAAATTTCCTTTTTGAGTCGGGGGTCTCACTGTGTTGTCCAGGCTGGAGTATAGTGGCATGACCGTGTCTCGCCACAGCCTCAACCTCCTGGGCTCAGGCAATCCTCCCGCCTCAGCCTCTTGAGTAGCTGAGACTACCTGGCACACGCCACCACACCCAGTTAATCTTTTTTTTTTTTTGGTAGAGACAGGATCTCATTATGTTCCTAGGCTGGTCTTAAACTCTTGGGCTCAAGCAATCCTCCTATCTCGGCCTCCAAAAATGCTGGAATTACAGGTGTGAGCCCCTGTGCCCACCCCCCTGCTTTTTTTTAATCTTTCACAAAGTCCAGCAGACAAGGGCCCCAGACATGCATACTTCACAAACACAGGCTGGAGGGATCCCAAGTGAACCACACTCTACCCTCCCCCAAAGCAGCCCTGGCTCAGCAGGTGAGGCAGAGTCTACACACACAGGCAGCTTCTACAGTGCACCATCCTGAGTGTCCCCGCACATGTCCCCATGACCCGGGCGCTGGCCACAGCTGGGCAGGAATCGCTTTGGGGGTGGGTGGGTGTTGCTCCTCACACCTCCAGGCTTGGGGCACAGGATCAAAGGCCACCTGTTGGGGTGACCTGACCTCATGAGACCTCCGTGTCCAAGAAGATATGGACCCCAGGGAAAGGCCCCTGAGGGTGTCGGTGCGGCTAGAGAGACATCAGACCAGCTTGCCTGTTCCCCCAGGGCCCTCAGAGAGGACAGGCGTGAGGCACCGGGGACCAGCCCTGCCAATGCCAGGCCTGGGGTGTACGTGCAGGGCCCGACAGCCGAGCCCCGTCTGGTAAAGAGCGGCACAGAGCCAGGCATCATCTCCAGGAATTTATTGGAAACATGGTACAAACGGATTAGTGGATGGCATCTCCTTGCAGACAGTCCACACTGTGGCCTCACGCTCGGAAGGGACGGTCCTGGGAATGCTCACACTCGTGACACATGCCCAGTGAGGGCTCTCCGGCAGGGAAGACCAGACACGGCCAGGGGACAGGCGGGCACACAGAAAATGGGGACACGGCTTTCCTGGGGCAGTGGGGAAGCTAAATCCCCCCAAGGGCACAGAGTGATGATGATGCGGAGTGAAGACTGCCCCCCGCCTGGCACTCTCCAGGCGAGGACACCGACTCTGCAGACACCAGGGCAGCTCCTCCCTGTCCTGGCCAGGGACTCAGGAAGGCGGCGGGCCACAAGCCCCAGGCCCCGACGCGACCCCGAGCTGGCCCTCAGGGCCCCTACTCTGCTCCAAGGCAGGGGGTGGCCCTGCGGGTGGCCTGTCTCCGGCTTGCAGGGAGCTGGCTTCTGGCTGGGCTCCCCAGTGGAGGCACCTGCAGGAAGTAGAGGGCAGAGGAGGAGAGGGGCGAGGCCGTTTCTACCCCTCTCTGCCTGGGGGGCTGTTTCTGACGGCAGCCACGGCTCCTCGAGGCTCGGGCTCCCACCACATCGGCCCTTCCTGCCCCCAGACCCCCGGGCCTAGCCCCGCGGTGTCCAGCCGGCCTGGGGTGGCGGCAGCCTCCCACGGTTGCCCCCATCCCTGTGCTGCCTGCACTGCCCAGTTCTGCCTCTCAGCTCTCGTTGTCTCTGAGTTCCACAAACCGCTGGATTAAACCCCCCGTTTCGAGTGCTCCGAGTGGTTTCTGCCGGGCACAGGCAGTGCTGACAGGCATGCCAAGACCCCCCATCCCCACCCCAAGGACCTCCAGTGCGCCTTCTCTCATGCACCTTTAAGAACGAGGGCTGGGGCTGGGCACAGTAGCTCAAACCTGTCATCCCAGCACTTTGGGAGGCCGAGGCAAGAGGACTGCCTGAGCTCAGGGGTTCGAGACCAGCCTGGGCAACTTGGTGAGACCTCATCTCTACAATAAACTAAAAAAATAAGCCAGGTGTGGTAGTGTGCACCTGTAGTTCCGGAAGGATCGCTGGAGCCCAGCAGGTCAACGCTGGGGTGGCCGTGAGCGAGCCACTGCACTCCAGCCTGGGCCATGGAGTGAGACTCCAACTCAAAAAATAAAATAAAATAAAAAACATAAGAATGAGGGCTGGGCAGGCGGTGACCCAGAGGGAGAAGCAGACACCCTGCAGAGCTATGACCCCGCCCGAGGGGACATGTCTGCTGCGGACTGTGCAGACAGTCCATGCATGCCCACCCACATGCTTGCTGAGCCACGTGACAGGCCGCTGACAAGCACAGCAACACCTGTTACCAGCAAGGGGGTGGCTGGGAAAACCTCCAAAGGCTCAGAACGGCAGAGGCAGGGGCCAGAGGCGCCCTGGCATCTGTCCCCCTTCCCTGGAGGATGCCATCAGAATGCCGGGGGGCAGGGGGTGGTTTCCTGACACAGCGTGACAGCGTCAGATCTCAGTCAACATCATCGCTCTGGGAGGACAGGACCAGCATCCTGCTCCTACGTGCCTGCGGCCCCCAGCTGGCAGCACTTCCCCAGAGCCAAGGTCAGCTGGCACTGCAGGGGCTCCCTGCTGCGCCCTCAGGCCCGGCCTGGCCCCAGCTGTCCCCAGTCTCTCTGCCTGGTGGGTCTCTCCCAGCAGGCCGAGAGGGGAGCTGGCAGAGTGACGGGCAGCTGATCAATCCTGCAGTCAGCAGTCACCGCTTAAGGGGGCTTGGAAGGAAGGGGCTGGGGAGGGAGACATTTCCCTTTCTGGGTGGCAATAAGCCCAGGGAAGGGCCAGGCAGCATCGTGTCCTTCTCTTTAGAGAAGAAACGCCACATGGCATGTGACGTAGACAGTGGCCACCTCCTCTCCCCGGGCCTTGGCTGAAGGGACTTTTCGGTGGAAGCCCTGGGGGGGACGCCTGCTGCCTCCAGCCATCTCCCAAAGCGCCTCTGACACGGACCCAGGCTTGGGGGCCCCACCCAAGCGTTGGCAGTGGTGGGAACAGGAGCCCCAGGTGGGAGGCGACTCTTCAGAAGAGAAGCCGGGATGGCCACAAGGCTGGAGGAGCCCCAGGTGCCACCCTCCACCCTGACACGGTCTCCCTGCAGGGCGGAACAGCCTGGGGCCATGAGGACTCGGACTAGTGCCATTGCCTTTCTGTGTCACCTCCCTCTTCCCAGGGTCGATTTAATGCAGCCACTCCATCCTGCAGCAACCCGGCTATTGAGGGGCATCTCGGCTCAGCGTGATCTGCCTCCTGGGAGCTCAGAGACGGCAGGGAGGTCGGGCCCCATCACCTTTCCTGGCGCCATGACCCTGTGCCCTGTGGAGGGCAGGGGATGGCCAGACTCACCTATGCTCAGGGGCTGATCGGGCCTGATGCGTGAGCAGGGGGCAGCAGCGTGGGCAGCGCGAGGGCTTGGCGCCCAGGGCAGGCGGGAAACAGGGATGGCCCGAGCCAGTGGAGGAGGCAGGTGTCCTGGGGCTGGCCCATGTGCTCGTGGGTCGGGGATCTACAGGGGTGGGGGTCAGGGTGTAGTCCTCACAGACTCACCCCTGCACACGCAGCTCACGCCTTGAACCCCCGGTCTATCTGCTTACAAGAAGACACAGTGGCCGCTATGGGCCCCACCGACCGAGGGTCTCGGCTGGTCTGGCTGTGAGAGGGCAGGGCAGAGGGCAAATGGCTTGTCATAGTGACGTGCACACGCTTGGCACACTTGACACCTGCTCTGGCTGGAGCCGTCTGACACCAAGCAGAGCCAAGCAGGACGCAGGCCTCTCTCTGATGACAGAATCCAGACGGCATGTTCACGGATTCCTTTTGTCAGAAGCTGGGGTGATTCTGTGCCTTGAGGAGTGGGAGAGGGTCAAACCCAGGACGCAGGGTGACAGCAACGTCCCCCATTTAAAAGCCTACGGAGGAAAGCGGAGCGACGGTCACGGAGAGGACAGGGAAGCACTGGGACCTGCATAGACACTGGCGTGTTCCCTAGGAAAGTCCCTTCAGAGCGGTGCCACGGCCCTTCCGTGCATGACTAAACAGCGTGAGGCGAGCAGGGCGGACACATGCAGGGCGGCCCGGCTGCCAGGAGCCTGGGGGGGGCGCGGGCCATGGAGGGAGGAGGCTGCGGAAGTGGGAGGCCACTCAGCCCACGACTCCCAGCAGGGCCCGTGCTGGGACAGCGAGGTCTCTTGAAAGAAAGCGGGCGGAGACGCAGCTCTGGAACGTGCACATCCACGGTTCCTTCCCTGCCCCCCGCGGCCTCAGGGGAGCACGCGGGGGACCCCACCGAAAGGTCCTGGGAGCGGGGCTGTGACTGTGAACATCAGGCACGACTGTGAACATCAGCAGGGCAGTGCAGCAAGGCTGGGGTTGCAGGATGAGACGGGGACGGCTCAGTCCGACACGCAGCACGTGAGCTCTGGAAAAGGGAAGAAGGTTCAGGGAGGCCCGGCCGTGGCGGCAGGCGGAGAGGGAGGACGGACTCAGCCCTCCCACCAACAGGCACAGCCTTCAGGGAAAGGAGGTTCGCCATTAATTCAAACAAAAGGTCGGGACTGGGCTGAGCGTGGCGGCTCACGCCTGTGATCTCAGCACTTCTGGGAGGTCACTTCTGGAGGATGGTTTTGGGCCAGGAGTTTGAGACCAGCCTGGGCAACATAGCAAGACCCCATCTCTAGTAAAATTTTTTTTTTTTTGAGTTGGAGTCTCACTCTGTCGCCCAGACTGGAGTGCAGTGGCCGCTCCCGGCCACCGCAGCCTTGACCTGCTGGGCTCCGGCGATCCTTCCGCCTCAGCCTTCCAAGTAGCTGGAACTACAGGCGCGTGCTACCACGCCCGGCTGATTTCTTGATTTATTGTAGAGATGAGGTCTCACCAAATTGCCCAGGCGGGTCACGAACTCTAGTAAAATTTTTTAAAAATTAGGCTAGCATGGTGGCGTGTGCCTATAGTCCCCGCTACCTAGGAGACTAAAGCAGGAGGATTGCCTGAGGCCAGCAGTTCAAGGCTGCAGTGAAGTATGATCGTACCACTACACTCCAGGCTGGGCAACAAAATGTCTCTAAAATTAAAAAAAAAAAAAGTCTCATAGTGTAGTTTGGGAAAGTTTAACTGGGGCCAAGACAATATTGAATGATACTGACAGATCTTAGAAGCTGGGTTTTGGACAGGCAGTCTTAGTGTTCTCTGGCTAGGCGCCACGGCATACCAAGCAGGAGAAGAGAAGTCACGGAACTTCTCTGACTGATTTGAAGGGATGGGGGGCGCTGGGAGGAGGCACAGTCTCATCCGACGTCATCGTAACTGATCATAATGACGTGGGCACTCACAGGCTCTGAGCACGGTGCCGCAGTGTCAGGAACTGTTTCTGTGCTGTTCACGCCTGGCCCCACCGCTTCTCCTCAGACCTTCGACTCTCCTGTCCCCGAACTGGACATCTGGAGACTGTCAACAGACACGAGTGTGTGAAGAGCGGAAGTAGCTTGCAAGCCGTATCATCAGCATCTCGTGTTACTCGGAAGGTTGTGAAATCTTCCATGAGCGGTTAGGCAAGTGGCCAGGCGGAAAGGGGGCTGTTTCTGCGGTGGATAAGATGCTGGGGCCTCCTCTCCCCCACGTGTGTCACTCTGCAGTCAGGGAAGGCCCAGGGCGCGCTCCTTCACAGCCCTGTACCATCCTGAGGAAGGGCTGCAGGATGGAGCAGGGCTATGCCGTCATTCGCGAGCCTGTCCAGAACAGGAAAGACATGCCCACGGCCTGGTATGTGCTAGTGGATCAGCAAACAAGTGTTTTTTGTTTTTGTTTTTGTTTTTTTGAGTTGGAATCTCACTCTGTCACCCAGCGTGGAGTGCAGTGACACACTCATGGCCACTGCAGCCTCAACCTGCTGGGCTCAGGTGATCCTTCTGCCTCAGCC